CTCACCCAAACTACTACATGGACTCACCCAAACTACTACATGGACTCACCCAAACTACTACATGGACTCACCCAAACTACTACATGGACTCACCCAAACTACTACATGGACTCACCCAAACTACTACATGGACTCACCCAAACTACTACATGGACTCACCCAAACTACTACAAGGACTCACCCAAACTACTACATGGACTCACCCAAACTACTACAAGGACTCCCCCAAACAAGTACATGGTCTCACCCAAACTACTACATGGACTCACCCAAACTACTACAAGGACTCACCCAAACAAGTACATGGTCTCACCCAAACTACTACATGGACTCACCCAAACTACTACATGGACTCACCCAAACTACTACATGGACTCACCCAAACTACTACAAGGACTCACCCAAACAAGTACATGGTCTCACCCAAACTACTACATGGACTCACCCAAACTACTACATGGACTCACCCAAACTACTACATGGACTCACCCAAACTACTACATGGACTCACCCAAACTACTACAAGGACTCACCCAAACAAGTACATGGTCTCACCCAAACTACTACATGGACTCACACAAACTACTACATGGACTCACCCAAACTACTACATGGACTCACCCAAACTACTACATGGACTCACCCAAACTACTATATGGATTCACCCAAACTACTACATGGACTCACCCAAACTACTACAAGGACTCACCCAAACAAGTACATGGTCTCACCCAAACTACTACATGGACTCACCCAAACTACTACAAGGACTCACCCAAACAAGTACATGGTCTCACCCAAACTACTACATGGACTCACCCAAACTACTACATGGACTCACCCAAACTACTACAAGGACTCACCCAAACAAGTACATGGTCTCACCCAAACTACTACATGGACTCACCCAAACTACTACATGGACTCACCCAAACTACTACATGAACTCACCCAAACTACCACATGGACTCACCCAAACTACTATATGGATTCACCCAAACAAGTACATGGACTCACCCAAACTACTATATGGACACCCCAACTACTACAAGGACTCACCCAAACAAGTACATGGTCTCACCCAAACTACTACATGGACTCACCCAAACTACTACATGGACTCACCCAAACTACTACATGGACTCACCCAAACTACTACATGGACTCACCCAAACTACTACATGGACTCACCCAAACTACTACAAGGACTCACCCAAACAAGTACATGGTCTCACCCAAACTACTACATGGACTCACCCAAACTACTACATGGACTCACCCAAACTACTACATGGACTCACCCAAACTACTACATGGACTCACCCAAACTACTATATGGATTCACCCAAACTACTACATGGACTCACCCAAACTACTACAAGGACTCCCCCAAACAAGTACATGGTCTCACCCAAACTACTACATGGACTCACCCAAACTACTACAAGGACTCACCCAAACAAGTACATGGTCTCACCCAAACTACTACATGGACTCACCCAAACTACTACATGGACTCACCCAAACTACTACATGGACTCACCCAAACTACTACAAGGACTCACCCAAACAAGTACATGGTCTCACCCAAACTACTACATGGACTCACCCAAACTACTACATGGACTCACCCAAACTACTACATGGACTCACCCAAACTACCACATGGACTCACCCAAACTACTATATGGATTCACCCAAACAAGTACATGGACTCACCCAAACTACTATATGGACACCCCAACTACTACAAGGACTCACCCAAACAAGTACATGGTCTCACCCAAACTACTACATGGACTCACCCAAACTACTACATGGACTCACCCAAACTACTACATGGACTCACCCAAACTACTACATGGACTCACCCAAACTACTACATGGACTCACCCAAACTACTACATGGACTCACCCAAACTACTACAAGGACTCACCCAAACAAGTACATGGTCTCACCCAAACTACTACATGGACTCACCCAAACTACTACATGGACTCACCCAAACTACTACATGGACTCACCCAAACTACTATATGGATTCACCCAAACAAGTACATGGACTCACCCAAACTACTATATGGACACCCCAACTACTACAAGGACTCACCCAAACAAGTACATGGTCTCACCCAAACTACTACATGGACTCACCCAAACTACTACAAGGACTCACCCAAACAAGTACATGGACTCACCCAAACTACTACATGGACTCACCCAAACTACTACAAGGACTCACCCAAACAAGTACATGGACTCACCCAAACTACTATATGGACTCATCCAGAATACTACATGGACTCGCCCAAACAAGCTCATGGACTCACCCAAACTACTACATGGACTCACCCAGAATACTACATGGACTCGCCCAAATTACTACATGGATTCACCCAGAATACTTCATGGACTCAGCCAAACTACTACATGGATTCACCCAAACAAGCTCATGGACTCAGCCAAACTACTACATGGACTCACCCAGAATACTTCATAGCTCACCCAAACTACTACATGGACTCACCCAGAATACTACATGGACTCACCCAAACTACTCATCTCACCCAAACTATTACATGGACTCACCCAAACTACTAGATGGACTCACCCAAACTACTACATGGACTCACCCCAACTACTACATGGACTCAGCCAAACTACTACATGGACTCACCCCAACTACTACATGGACTTTCTTAAACTACTACATGCTCACCCAAACTACTACATGGACTCACCCAAACTACTACATGGACTCACCCCAACTACTACATGGACTTTCTTAAACTACTACATGCTCACCCAAACTACTACATGGACTCACCCAAACTACTACATGGACTCACCCCAACTACTACATGGACTTTCTTAAACTACTACATGCTCACCCAAACTACTACATGGACTCACCCAAACTACTACATGGACTCACCCCAACTACTACATGGACTTTCTTAAACTACTACATGCTCACCCAAACTACTACATGGACTCACCCAAACTACTACATGGACTCACCCCAACTACTACATGGACTTTCTTAAACTACTACATGCTCACCCAAACTACTACATGGACTCACCCAAACTACTACATGGACTCACCCCAACTACTACATGGACTTTCTTAAACTACTACATGCTCACCCAAACTACTACATGGACTCACCCAAACTACTACATGGACTCACCCCAACTACTACATGGACTTTCTTAAACTACTACATGCTCACCCAAACTACTACATGGACTCACCCAAACTACTACATGGACTCACCCCAACTACTACATGGACTTTCTTAAACTACTACATGGACTCACCCAAACTACTACATGGACTCACCCAAACTACTACATGGACTCACCCCAACTACTACATGGACTTTCTTAAACTACTACATGCTCACCCAAACTACTACATGGACTCACCCAAACTACTACATGGACTCACCCCAACTACTACATGGACTTTCTTAAACTACTACATGCTCACCCAAACTACTACATGGACTCACCCAAACTACTACATGGACTCACCCCAACTACTACATGGACTTTCTTAAACTACTACATGCTCACCCAAACTACTACATGGACTCACCCAAACTACTACATGGACTCACCCCAACTACTACATGGACTTTCTTAAACTACTACATGGACTCACCCAAACTACTACATGGACTCACCCAAACTACTACATGGACTCACCCCAACTACTACATGGACTTTCTTAAACTACTACATGCTCACCCAAACTACTACATGGACTCACCCCAACTACTACATGGACTTTCTTAAACTACTACATGCTCACCCAAACTACTACATGGACTCACCCCAACTACTACATGGACTTTCTTAAACTACTACATGCTCACCCAAACTACTACATGGACTCACCCCAACTACTACATGGACTTTCTTAAACTACTACATGCTCACCCAAACTACTACATGCTCACCCAAACTACTACATGGACTCACCCCAACTACTACATGGACTTTCTTAAACTACTACATGCTCACCCAAACTACGAGTATGGCCTTTAACAATGTTTGTAATCGATTTATTCCATTGAGTGATGCCTGACATTGTCAAGAGAAACACGACCCATTCATGTTTTCAACAACCTACGACATGACTGCCTGCTGACGAGTACACCGTTGTGCTGAATGAACTGTGAGTGGCTCAGTCAATCTCGTCCTTGACCTTAGCTGTCAGCCCTGCCCTGGTGTCAGACTGACGGTTGGTACCTGCCATTGTCTCAAGCGGATCGATAACCTGAGCTCCGTTTATAGGTCACACACATCGATAGGAAGGTTGGGAGACCACAGTGTCAACACGCTATCTCGTCGTCCGAGCTCTTCAACTCTGGGGGTTGTCATCTTGTAACCAGCTGTAGCACATCCACTCACAGCTGTCAACTTTTGGCCATCCACTCACAGCTGTCAACTTTTGGCCATCCACTCACAGATGTCAACTTTTAACCAGCTGTAACACATCCTCTCACAGCTGTCAACTTTTGGCCATCCACACACAGCTCAGTGTACTCTTGGCCATCGACTCACAGCTGTGAACTTTTAGCCAGTTGTTAACGATCCACTCACAAAAATACTTTAAAAGCTGTAACTATATATATTTAAACTAGCTGCTTACCCGTGCTTCCAATCTTTACGTTCTTTTGTTGACGTATGCAAAAGAGTAAAAATTTTCCTACGATCAAAAAATTTAGGTCGTTACATAAATAGACTCTACTCCATTACTTATAATAAGACACTGTGATGCAAGTGAAAAGCACAGCATGTGTTGTTTACTTTTATGGTTCTACGATCTATACCTATAGCGATGACTGACGGACGGAATGACACACTACCTGGCCGCTTATATTATAGATGCAATATATATATATATATATATATATATATATATATATATATATATATATATATATATATATATATATATATATATATATATATATATTGGTATTAAGGTCAAGGTCAATTCGGAGAGCGAGATCTTGTGGACCAGGCGGAAGAGTACCTAAACTGTGCTGTGACTCACCCGTTTAATTTCTCAATACCTAAGGTAATGTCCGGATGTTGTACAGGTGGTGTCATTATTTTAATTAGCTCTTTAGGTAAGTTTGTCATTCACCCGTTTAATTTCTCAATACCTAAGGTAATGTCCGGATGTTGTACAGGTGGTGTCATTATTTTAATTAGCTCTTTAGGTAAGTTTGTCATTCACCCGTTCAATTTCTCAATACCTAAGGTAATGTCCGGATGTTGTACAGGTAAGTTTGTCAAGTAGAATAAAATGTTTGGTTTAAAGACCACTGTTTGAAGTTGTACTCACCACAAAAACCTAAAATCAACTTGTTTCGAACAAAATATTCGATTAATAGCTCACGTTATGAAATGGTGATAGATAAAACACTTGAAGCTCACCTAGAAATGTATAACAGTTCTCAACTTCTCATACTATGACACTTTTTTTATAAGTTCTAAGGAGATGATAATGTTAATTTCACAAACCCATTTATTTAAGAGATGATGGTTTTTATTAATTTAGACTTATTTTGTAGCGGAACATTGTAAAGGATGTAAAGCCCAATTTAGAAGAGACAAGTATTTGACCTGAAGCCATTGTGTCTGCAGGTTATCTTTGCCTTAAAGTGCTTGACCTGAAGCCATTTTGTCTGCAGGTTATCTTTGCCTTAAAGTCCTTGACCTGAAGCCATTTTGTCTGCAGGTTATCTTTGCCTTCTACAACCAAATCACGAAGCCTGTAGCTCACAGTCTGGAGAAGCTGGGTGTAGCTGTCTATGGCCAGCTGGACACAGCTGATGGCCTCACCCTAACGGGGGCCAGCCAACTGGACAATTCTATCGCTGGGTCAGGGGTCACGGTGGAAGACGATGGCACGATTGTACAGACAGGTCAGTGTTCAGGCCAAGAGGCTTGTTATGTAGACGACAGCTTACAGACGCATACAGACAGCTTACAGACGCATACAGCCCTGTATGCTGCAGTACGACGACAGCTTACAGACGCATACAGACAGCTTACAGACGCATACAGACAGCTTACAGACAGCTTACAGACGCACACAGACCTGTATGCTGCAGTACGACGACAGCTTACAGACGCATACAGACAGCTTACAGACGCATACAGACAGCTTACAGACAGCTTACAGACGCACACAGACCTGTACTTACATGTCGAATCATTGGACTCTCGTTCTTTGACAGTTTCAGAAACAACTGACAATCCAAAAACAACTGACCAACCCGCAACACCTGACCAACCAGCAGGAACTGACAAGCAAGCAAGCCTCCACCAAACACCAACCCAAGAGCAACCAGTCACATCCCGCCTGCCTGTACCCCCAGCCTCACCCAGCCATCACACCACTTCCCCCTGCCCCCACCCTGATCACCGACCTAACTCTCAGGCTTTGCTCTCTAAACTTGTTTCCTGCCCTCCAAACTACTCCACCCTCCTGGCTGTGACGTCACCAACCTCCGAGGCATACAACCCCTCCATCACGCGGGTCAACCTGGACGTGACGTCACTGATCGCCCTGGTCTCCTCAGTGACCAACGGCCGGTGTCACCTGGTGTTTCGTGACAAGGTGCTCAGTGAGCAGGCGGCGGAGGAGAGGCTGGCACCCGTGCTGCCGCTCATCTCAGAGTATATCACAGGTAAATGGTCTCACAGTATAACACAGGTAACTGGTCCCACAGTATCTCACAGGTAACTGGTCTCACAGGTAACTGGTCCCACAGTATCTCACAGGTAACTGGTCTCACAGTATATCACAGGTAACTGGTCTCACGTATATCACATGTAACAGGTACCACAGGTAACTGGTCCCACGGGTAACAGGTCCCACAGGTAACTGGTCTCACAGTATATCACAGTTAACTGGTCTCACAGTATAACACAGTTAACTGGTCTCACAGTATATCACAGGTAACTGGTCTCACAGTATATCACAGGTAACTGGTCTCACAGTATAACACAGTTAACTGGTCTCACAGTATATCACAGGTAACTGGTCTCACAGTATATCACAGGTAACTGGTCCCACAGTATATCACAGGTAACTGGTCTCACAGTATATCACAGTTAACTGGTCTCACGTATATCACAGTTAACTGGTCTCACAGTATAACACAGTTAACTGGTCTCACAGTATAACACAGGTAACTGGTCTCACAGTATATCACAGGTAACTGGTCCCACACTATATCACAGGTAACTGGTCCCACACTATATCACAGGTAACTGGTCTCACAATATATCACAGGTAACTGGTCTCACAGTATATCACAGGTAACTGGTCTCACGGTATAACACAGGTGACTGGTCCCACAGTATAACACAGGTAACTGGTCCCATAGTATAACACAGGTAACTAGTCTCACAGTATATCACAGGTAACTGGTCTCACAGTATATCACAGGTAACTGGTCCCACAGTATATCACAGGTAACTGGTCTCACGGGTAACTGGTCTCACAGTATATCACAGGTAACTGGTCTCACGGGTAACTGGTCTCACAGTATATCACAGGTAACTGGTCTCACGGGTAACTGGTCCCAAAGTATATCACAGGTAACTGGTCCCACAGGTAACTGGTCCCACAGTATATCACAGGTAACTGGTCCCAAAGTATATCACAGGTAACTGGTCCCACAGGTAACTGGTCCCACAGTATATCACAGGTAACTGGTCTCACGGGTAACTGGTCCCACAGTATATCACAGGTAACTGGTCTCACAGTATATCACAGGTAACTGGTCCCAAAGTATATCACAGGTAACTGGTCTCACAGGTAACTGGTCCCACACTATATCACAGGTAACTGGTCCCAAAGTATATCACAGGTAACTGGTCCCAAAGTATATCACAGGTAACTGGTCCCAAAGTATATCACAGGTAACTGGTCCCAAAGTATATCACAGGTAACTGGTCCCACGGTATATCACAGGTAACTGGTCCCAAAGTATATCACAGGTAACTGGTCTCACAGTATATCACAGGTAACTGGTCTCACAGTATATCACAGGTAACTGGTCTCACGGGTAACTGGTCTCTCTGTGTCACAGTTAACCAGGCTTATTTTATTATTATATTTGTATTTTCCCAAACGCGATCTAACCAAGCCCAACAAAACTCCCCAACTAACCAAATATGAGACACCCTTGATCTGACCACCATTGAAACATCTCAGCTCAGACTTAGCTACACGAGGTTCAGTATCATCACAATAGTCCTCACTAAAATATCATAGTCCCAGTTTTTTTTTTTTTTTTTTTTTTTTTTTTTTTTTTTTTTTTTTTTTTTTAGTTTTTGTAATCATAGCGGGCGTAAAAGTAACATTAAGCCTGAAAGTAATTCAGAAATAGTCTAATATTTTCAAAATAGGTGTTATAAAAGTTGTTTTTTTTCATCAAGCCTAAGTTATAACCTGAAGTTTCACGCTCGTAGGACAAACATTGATTGGCTGTACAGGAACTCCGTGATCGATCTTCTGAAATCCCCACTTCATAGTAATTTGTTATCCAAACTTTGCCAGATAAATTTTTTTTAAAGTTTTTAAAACCACATGACCTGCCATGTTTGTTAACATTTTCTGTTATAAAATTAATTGTTTTTGGCTTTTTAAAAATGTTGTTTAGTTACCGAAAATACTAAAAACATCAAATGTATTCAATCTTTAGTAAAGTCCAACAAAACCTCACAATAAAGTTTTTACAGTCAAATATTTTTATAACACCGCACAATAGCTTAAAAATATTTTATACACGATCTGAAAAAATCCGAGACATCCCTGCTGCTTGCATTTCTAGTGTTTGTCGCGTTATCTTTGGCTTAGCCGGGTTCTCTAAGTTAATCTTCAGAATTATGGGGAGATTGACTATTTATCACGGCATTTCCAATTGGTTGTGTTTTAACACATATGCAGTCGTTTGGTACATTTGCTCTGTCTTTTAACACATTCGCTGTGTTTTAGAAAACAGAAGCCACTGTTAGTGTTAATTTTTTAAGTGAAACCTGGTACCTTAATCAGAGTTTCTTCCAGGCATCTCGGGGGGGGGGGGTCTACCGCCCCCCGAACGAAATGGAATTTATATAGAAAATATATACTTTTAATAGTGTCCGCCCCCCCCCCCCCACGAAAATTTCAAATGCCCCCATTCCCCCCGGAGAAAAAAGTTTGGCCGTTAGTCCTCCATTGATGTCCTTAATTGATGTCCTTAATTGATGTTTGTAACAACAGTAATATTATTGATAGAATGATACTGTTGTTATTGTGGGTTCGTTCATCCAAGAATACGAGCAACAGTGCTTTGTAACTTCAAACTTTATTTACATGGATCCAAGAGAAATAATAATAATATTTCACAGTAGAAAAATGACTATTACATTATAGTCTAGAACAAACTGACGTGGTGACATCTTACATCTTACTACACAATCACAATCCAAGCACCCTTCGTTCACCTTGCGCTCCCCTTTTATACCGTCCATTCTTTCCCCTTACGTCAATGAGCGATCTCACCAAAAGCATGGAAAAATACATGACGAGTCGCTCAGACAGTCCTTCCGTTAGCCAGGTACTCTACATTCATGCAACTTCATGTAAGACACAATATAATAAACATACCTAATAATACAGTCTGTGACAATGTTCTACATTGATGTCATCAATGTATGTCCTCCACTGATGTCCTCCATAAACCAGCTTGTGTTGCTGTCTGTGCCGACTTGTGGTCCTCTGAATCCAATCTAATTATAAACCTGCAAATGCCGCGCCACGCAAACTTGTGTTGTGATATTCTTGCCGTCACACAGAACACCAAACTTGTGTTGTGATATTCTTGCCGTCACACAGAACACCAAACTTGTATTGTGATATTCTTGCCGTCACATAGAACACCAAACTTGTATTGTGATATTCTTGCCGTCACACCAAACTTGTATTGTGATATTCTTGCCGTCACATAGAACACCAAACTTGTATTGTGATATTCTTGCCGTCACACAGAACACCAAACTTGTATTGTGATATTCTTGCCGTCACACCAAACTTGTATTGTGATATTCTTGCCGTCACATAGAACACCAAACTTGTATTGTGATATTCTTGCCGTCACACAGAACACCAAACTTCCAAACTTGTGTTGTGATATTCTTGCCGTCACACCAAACTTGTATTGTGATATTCTTGCCGTCACACAGAACACCAAACTTCCAAACTTGTGTTGTGATATTCTTGCCGTCACACCAAACTTGTATTGTGATATTCTTGCCGTCACACAGAACACCAAACTTGTATTGTGATATTCTTGCTGTCACACCAAACTTGTATTGTGATATTCTTGCCGTCACACAGAACACCAAACTTGTATTGTGATATTCTTGCCGTCACATAGAACACCAAACTTGTATTGTGATATTCTTGACGTCACACCAAACTTGTATTGTGATATTCTTGCCGTCACATAGAACACCAAACTTGTATTGTGATATTCTTGCCGTCACACAGAACACCAAACTTCCAAACTTGTATTGTGATATTCTTGCTGTCACACCAAACTTGTATTGTGATATTCTTGCCGTCACACAGAACACCAAACTTGTATTGTGATATTCTTGCCGTCACATAGAACACCAAACTTGTATTGTGATATTCTTGCCGTCACACCAAACTTGTATTGTGATATTCTTGCCGTCACACCAAACTTGTATTGTGATATTCTTGCCGTCACACCAAACTTGTATTGTGATATTCTTGGCGTCACATAGAACACCAAACTTGTATTGTGATATTCTTGCCGTCACACCAAACTTGTATTGTGATATTCTTGCCGTCACACAGAACACCACACTTGTGTTGTGATTTTCTGATATTCTTGCCTTTGATTACGTCCCACATTCATTCTTCCCCAAGACAGAATCCATCCTTCAAGACCCCCCCCCCCCCCTTTCACATTCCCATCCACTTTAATATTATCTCATAAACTGACAATTTCCTTTTGGACGTGTTCTGTAATTAGTAATCAAATTAATCAGACTTTGAGAAATAACGCTCGTTATTTCTTTAACAAAACCTTAAGGCATTGTTTGTATATGTTGTTCTTCTGCGACATACAGCTATCAAATTAACAATTAATGTAAGCTAATTTAGCTTGACAACCAAAGATTTATCAAAAGTCTATTGGCAAGAAAAACGAAAGGACAAATTATCAATTGTCCATATTGTGAACCAATCCAATGGGAAATGTATCAAACGTGTATTTAGTGTTACTTGTTATTTAGTGTTACTTGTTATTTAGTGTTACTTGTTATTTAGTGTTACTTGTTATTTAGTGTTACTTGTTATTTAGTGTTACTTGTTATTTAGTGTTACTTGTTATTTAGTGTTACTTGTTATTTAGTGTTACTAAACATGTCCATGTTTCGTTTACATGTAGTAGTACAATAACGTAATCAAAAACTTTCGTCAAATATAACTGTATTCCCCAGCTCTCCCTCTAATCTGTGTATCCCTATCTCTCTGAATAATCTGTGTATTCCCCAGCTCTCCCTGTAATCTGTGCATACCTATCTCTCTCAACAATCTGTGTATTCCCCAGCTCTCCCTCTAATCTGTGTATCCCTATCTCTCTCAATAATCTGTGTATTCCCTAGC